AAAGATGGATGATAACCCCCCCACCACCACCACCACCACACACTCTCATAGTTTACTATGATGGGTTGACCTCAGTTAACCCCATGGCCCCTCCACAGCCTCTCATCCTATTGACTGAGATTAGAAAGGGGTTTGTCCACTGGGTTTTATGACGTAGGAATAAGAACGAAAGTGGCCTCACTGTCACCCTTAAGCGAGACTGGTTTGTCTATTGAGATTGAACAGGAATGCAGCATCTTTTCAAAGCATGTGTCAGATTTTGTTGGAATGTATCGGCCACAAAAAAACAAAGATCATACTGAAAAATTTTTGCTGTTATCGTTGAAAAAAATCCCAACAGCTGTTTGAATCACATCCTTCATTTACCTTCCAAAAAAGTAAAGAAATAAACCCTTCCAAGTTTGAAGAAGTTTTGCTGCCCATCCAAGAAGCTTTTTCAATTCAAAATGTCTTAATTAGTGTTGAGTTTCAAGCTGTATAGAGTAGCCCAACAATTCATTTACCTTCAGAACGACTTGTTGATGGTCAAGTCTTTCTAGGCTAAAATTTGGTCATTCTAAAAAAATATACAATTCTCTTACAAAAATGTTTTCAAAACATTTCTAACAGTAGAAATATGGTTCTTTGGTAACAAAGGAATTAGGAGTGTAGTATTCAAGATAAAAAAAAAAAGTTATGGTCTAAAAACTCATTTAAAAAAGCGTCACTGACATGTAAGGTAGAGTATTAATTAGCCAATGCCACTGCAAGTTTAAAGGCTCTTAAATGTTGCACAGCTCTCTGTGCACCTTTAATTATCACTGGAGGCAGCTGTATACTGTAATTGATGAAGATGACGGGGCAGAAGCAGACATAAATTACCAACCAACAAACTGTAGTTTAGCAGTAGGCTAAAGACGCTGATGATGCATCAAAGTGCCATTACAGCATTGAAATATAACAGTACACAGATAATTTCAAACTGTATTTTACAGAAAAAAATGCTACTTGTAAAATAGAAAACTCATGACTGCCTTCTTTTTTCCTGTTTTTTTTTACTTGGCTCAAAGGCGTAAACCTTTTACCTGACTCATAAATAAACATGACCGACAAGTTAGAAGAGGGCCCAGTCTTATCCATCTACCAGGGGCTTCCAATAGGGATGGCAAAAGCAGGAAAGCAAACTCTAAAGCTCACTTTAAGTTTACTGGAACAAAGATTTGCAACAACTGGAAGCTGTCTATATGTCAATCAACTGTTTGGCTTGAATAAAAAAAAAAAAACTTTTCTGTTTTCCAACACTTATGCTGTATTCCAACACTTTGCTGGCACTCAGCATGGCATAACAAGCTTTGGTCAGATGAAACTAAAGCCTATTTCACAAAACAGTTCTGTTATTAAGCCACAAAATGACCCCCATCTCTAAAATGACTTTCCCTGTTCATTTATCGCCCTCTAGGCCAACTGGTGATGAATTAAGAGGCTTTCATAAAAATAAAGCTAAAGTTGACATAAAGTGCTACAGAAACAAGTTAGATATGTCTCATTTTTAAGGGTTAAACAACTTGGTTGCGAGTCTATGACTGGATCTACTCTTTTTTAGTTTTCAAAGTCACCTAATAATGTACAAAACTCTTGGTGGAAACCGTATGTTGTTTCTCGTGGTATTTTACCAAAGCCTTGCCAACATGCAGTGGGTGGTATATAACAGTGGCAAGTTGACCTCGACCCCACCTTGCCTCATTGGTCTTTTCAGGGATAAAACAAGAAGGTGTCCTGGCTTCAAGTCTTCTATGAAGGTTGATGACGATTGAGGCATTCACCAACAAAACCCCTGTTGGGTCTGCTATGAAAAAAAGAAAAGATATATGGACAAATAACTTATGCCTACATCTCATCTAGTGAAGGAGCTTTGATGCGTTGGACTCATTCTCTTTAATAAAGTCTCAGAGCGCTTGTGCTCTCGGAAGGTTGCAAGTACCTGGTTTGATCCCCCCAGCCTCCATTCTGGGTTCCTGAGCAAAACGCACTGCTACACGATGGCAGCCCATTGCACACCAAGGCGGATGGGTTAAATACAGAGAGAGGATTTCCCCATTGTGGGACAATAAAAGGGATTTACATTTACTTATTTACATATACCACTGATCATTGTAAATAAAGATCTCACTCTCTTTACCACGGAGAAAGAATTGTCACTGGGTCTATCAGCAACATCCTTAAATTAAGGTTCTTAATAAGTTTTTTTTGTGCAGTTGAAAAATAAAGATGGAATTGGACAAGGCTGTTTTTAGCGGGAAGTGGGGTTAAATTGCTCTGAATGTTCAAACTTGCACAACATGGTTATACAGCTACTTTCTGTCAGTGAAGAAGCTAACACAACAAGTCAATCAAACAACTTTCTGTTGTTTCCCAGGAGACTTCAACTGGTGAAGAATGTGAGGACAGGGGATGTCTTTGTCCCCAAAGGTATTCTCTGGCAGTTTCTTTCACTTATCATTCATTTGGGGATGTTTACGCAGCATCTTTGTGCAATCCTCTAGCTCACAAGAAAGAAAACAGCATCTTGGTATTATAAAGGGCTACAATTAAGCCAAGATTTTTTGGAAGACATTTCTCACTGGGGTAAATGGAGTTTGAAAGAGCATCACTGGATTCCTGTAAAAAAACGTGCATCATCTAGCATCGTTTAGCGTGAACCAGTAAGCCCAAATGTGAAATCTTTTTGGCTCCTGCTGAATTAAGCACCTCATAATCTGCTTAGCAGTACTATGTGTGACAAAAAACACCCACTCACACATATGTGGTAATTACAGCTTTAACAGGCATCCCTAGACCATGATCTTTAGCAGCTCATTAGACACTATCAAGAATCATACACAGGGGAGTATGTTTCACACATCTGTTGATTAGCAACTTTCACCGCAGTGTCACTCTGCTGTTTTCAACCACTACACCCATTAGAGGCTAATTAACACTGAGGACAAAGCCTCCTTCCTGTTTTATAGCACCGTAAATAAAGCCTTCAGACTTCCCAGGTTCCCCAGACTATTATGCAACATGGAGCAAGTAAGTGCTGTGGAAGAGTATAAAAAGTGACTCCTTTTATTTTTCCGTGCTTTTTGGGTCAAATGCACTATTTCAGACCATCTAACACATTTGAAAACAGCAAATTTAGAATGTAGTTTTCCAATGCTAATTTTATTTCTAAAGGGAAAGAAATCCGCCTGGATTATTCTGGTCCTGTGTCAAAAATATATTGTTATTAATCACATTTTGGAAAGCTGAGTAAAATTACCAACCCATTGCTAAGGTTTTGGTACAACATCACATTGTGGCATGAGCCTTTAAACACAAAGATAACATGGAACACACATTAATTAATGGAACACGGATAAAAAAATTCCAGGAGAATGGATCAACTCTCTCAGGTTCACACTTTACAATGTGGCACTATAGCTGCAATAGCTTGTCAAAGAACTAAAGAGCAATCATTACTCAATACCCTGTGACTCCAGCTGTTAGTGTGTATATATCTATATCTATATATATCTATATATATATATATATATATATATATATATATATATAT